TGTTGAAATTTAAATGATTCAAAGCCAACAGCGTGTACTCCCGTGTTGATGAATCTATGAGTTGATTGAATGCTGATTGGCTGAAAAGTTGAACTGAAGAAGAAATGGAGCGATGGCCATATATTGGAGACTTTAATTGACATTTTCTGCTCACCTTTGTCGTCTTTGCACATGTGAGCCATGTGGCTGGCTTGGATGGCTGCCTGTGTAAAGTGGTGGACGAAGCAGTGGCAGGTCTGGAGGCACGATGGGGCGGGCAGGTCGGTCAGTATTGGTCTATGTATGATACGTTAGCTCAGAGATGAAGACCACAGCAGGTCAGGCTCTCCTCAGACATGATTATGAATGATTGTGATGCTTTGATGGCGTTACAGTTTGTGCAGTCAGGGCTCAAAGCATCATCCATGCAGACCAGCAGTGTTGTTTGGTGACTTAAAGAAAAACCAACTCTTACATCACTGTGATGGTGCTGGGTTAACTGGGTGCTTCTCGCAGCTTCAGATCGCACTGAGAGAACTTCAGAAGCAAACGTATTTTTCATGGTGTCTTTTATTTTGAAAAAAGACCAGATGCTCTATGCCGTTCCTCTGTCTGACTTCCTGCCCTCCTCAGCAGCTCTCTGTGACAAACGGTCACAACAGAGAGCTGTGGAATCACGAGAGCTGTCATGAGTGGACAGGATCAGCTCTGTCAGTCACATCTGAGCAGGAATGTGAGGAGGATTTTCCCTTCTTGCCAAATGCTTGAACAAAATAGCGCAACACAACCTAAAAGAGGAATATGATATCACACAGATATGTGAAGTGAAACAAAACGGGCCTTTCAACAACAACGTGAAGAATTTCTCTTTTTATTATTACTTCGTAATAGAAACCTGATGGTTTATCATTATTTCTATGCGCAGTTAATTTTAGGTCCACCTTTAATGCGACTTCATCAAAATTGATTTCACACTGATGGCCGAGCTCTAATCGCACATAAGTTTATTTGCTCCTCCTTCAGGCCTTCAGTCACGCTTTCTCAGATTAATCTGATCCTCATATTTCACTTTATGTCACAAGATTTCGTGTATAGTGGGTCTAGTGTGGGATTTAAAAAGTAAAGCTATGCTGTACTACAGTTACGGTACTCAGCTCCTGTCAGAACACAAATATAATAATAAGTCAATTATAATATCAATAAATCTGTATAACCTAAAAACAGCGTTGGGTCTCGTCCAGATCAGATGACATACGCTAGAAACTGTTATTTTACACTCAGGCTCTGTGACATCACTCAGCCTCCTCCTGCTCCACCTCAGCGCTAACAGTGAAGTTTCTCACACGTGTGGAGCTGCAGTGACCTTGCTGAGATAAGGCTGCTGCTGCTGCTGTGGGCTGACGGAGGAACCTTGGTGGAGGTTCCACGCCTGACGTTAACGCCGACAGGGGACCGGCTTCCTATAGAGACCGACCCTCCCACCCTCCTCCCTCTTTCCTGAGTCATCACGGCTCCGTAGCTGTCCCTCATCTCTAGCGCCGCCCACCAGCACCGCCTCCGCTCCAGAAACCGCAGGGGTTTGTCCCCTAAGCGACCCCTCCCATCTCCTCCTCTCCTCCTCCCATTGGTCTGCTCCTCCCCTCCTCCCCTCCCACCTCTATCACTCCTCTGTATCCCCTCTCTTCCTCTTCCTCCATCCTCTGTCCTCACTGCGAGCGTGTTTGGATTAGAGGACGAAGACGCAGAGGAAGAGCGTTTGGAAGCACATGCTCCCTGACAGGAGAGAGGGGGGAGGCTCGGCTTCTCCCTCCCCTCTTTTCCCTCCACAGCTGGAGGAAAAGATGTGAGGAGCACAGAGGAGCAGAGGACCACCTGACTCTCTTGTCTGTCTGCCTGCCTGTCTGCCGGCATGCTGAGGAAACTGGTCTGCAGGCGGATCTGCTCCTGTAAGCTCCTCTTCCTCTGGACTAAATCAAATATCGATATCGATTTGCAGCCGTGATCGGTGATGAAGGTGCGGTGCGGGTACAGCTGTGATTCCAGGGGGAACGCGTGTGCCTGGTCTCGATCGTAAACACAGCAGGATTTTGTCTTTTCCTGGCCTGCTCTCTGCTGGATTGTTGTGTGGACAATGCATAGGAAGTGATGTGTGTTAGGGTTCAGGTCAGGAAGCTGCAGGAGCAAGTGTGATGAGTAAACACTGAAACTTTTAATCTACTTGTGTGTGATCAGAGTGGAAGGACGAGCTGATAAAAACTCAGCCGTGAAGGTTAAATCTGATGTGAAAGGCTCCATTCTGTCGCCCGTCCTCCTCTGATTCTGTAAATGATGTCTGTGGTGCACTTTGAGGGCTGTTGTCACCTCGTTTTCTTTGTCTCTGGCATTTGTAAGAATCCTCACACAAGTACAGTAAGTAACTTCTGAAATCCACCGAGGGCCTGTTTACTCTTATGTTTATGGTCACGTCTGTTCCTTTACTTAACAGGCAGAGGTTAGAACTGAAGAATTATGAGGCTTGATTCAAAGCTGTGCTTCTTTAGGTTGTGTCTAAAATGTAACCTCAGTGGTTCACTGTTAGCCAGGTGGTTGTTTGGACTGATGCACTGAAATTGTCGTCTTTTCTGTACCGTTTGGTAACAATCTTTTATTTTCATGTCTGAGCAGGAAATATTCTGCCTCAGACACATTCTCACTGCTGGAAATCGTCTGTGTGTTTCAAGAGCCTGTGCCTGTGTTGAGTTTGAATGGACTGGTACTTTTACAGTCATCTTCTACTCAGTTTAAGCACTTATAGTACTTGCTTACAATAAGCCTCATTCACCCACACGCTCATACAAGTGCTCTCTTTATTCTGTACCTAAGCCCTTTTAACCTCACACTCGAGTCATTATCTTTGCTGACATATGTCGGCATATGTCTCCTCCAGAGTTTCGATTAACAGATGACCCTCTCTGAGTCAAAGCCGCGATGTTTAAAGTAAAAAGAAAAGACTCCTGTAATTAGGAGCAAGCAGGTTAAAGACCGGCTAATGTCCAACCTGCAACATATGAAAACAGATTGTTGATCAGAAAGTAGCTTTACCGACGCAGGCTTTTCTTTTTTCCTTATGAAACATCACCCGAGGCTTTTACAAGGCTTTTTAACAGTAAGACATCACACTGGTGATGATGATACCCCTCTCAGAGAAGCCGTGATAAGATTAAATTCATCGATCGACAGAAAGCAAAGCGCCGTCCAAACGTCTTCTTATGTCACGCTGTTAGTAGCTGTAGTTTCAGAGCTGCTGTGGCTGGATTTTCATCTGGTGCTAACATGTTTGTCACCGTCCTGGTCCTCTCTCGGTGTCGCGCTATGTTTGTGTTAGCGTGCTGAACTTGAGGTGACAGGTGAGGCTGTGTTTTTCCCTCACACACACTCACAGTGTGTTATGCTGTGAGGAAGACCTCCAACCTGATGTCACATGACTGATGTGTTGGCTCAGCTCCCTGCTGCTCTGTGTGTGTGTTTGTGTGTGCGTGTGTGTGTTGAAACTCTAAATAATGAAAAAGGATTGATTGCTGGCCTGGCAGATTCCTGTGCTGAGGGGGGCTCACGTGGCGCTCTGGCGTCCACCGCAGGAGACATCTGCACAGGGCTGGGCCTCTTTCAGCTGCTTCTTGTTGCTGTATTTTGGTTCAATTACTGATCAGTTCAAATGTAATAGATTATATTTATAATGATTAGAGGTGAAACAGATGGTTTGCTGGATATTCTCCAGATCTGGCCCCTGAATTGTGAGGATTTGTTGCCTGTTTGTTTTACATGACAGGAAGAGAAGACAAAGACATCGCCATGTGCTCTGCTCATTTCCACATCCACAATCTTTACTCTCAGAAAACTGGTTTTAATTAGTAATTAGATTACATGTAAGTTTAGTTTAAAAGAACAATGTAAAATATTTAATTTAGTGGAATCTGATCAAATGAAATGTACTATTTAGCATATATTCAGTTTATACCAAACACATTTCCCTTAATGATTAATTTTGATAATATATATTTCAGCTGCATTTTACTCAGAATGATTGTTTCCTGTTTCTAAAGGGCAACAAATTATTTTATTAGTGTATTCATTTACTATGATACCGTAGCTTTGCATGATTCACAATTCAAAATAATCCATACTTGTCTTATACTGGGCTGTCACGCTTTAGCTCCTCCTCTAACGTTTTTTACTTTCCAAACGGGGCCTTGTAAACAGCAGGTAGGTGTCTGTATAATTAGGGATATATGCTTCTTTTTTTGGGATCAGTCTCATGTTCAGATCCGAGAGTAGAAAAAAACTGAGCACGTAAAGAACTTTGAGGCTCAGTGGGTTTATGTGTACATACACTGACATCAATAATTAAATATATATTTGGCATTATAGCAGTGTGTAACTAGCTGGACTAAAACATTTGTTTGTTAAAGATAAGTAATAAAAATACTCAGTATGACCCGTGTCCATTTATCATATCTATAATGATGTATGACAGCAACAAATATTCACATTGGAGAGTCTGAAACCAGCGGATTGTCTCATAAATGATCATTTGTATGCGATAATGTGTCAGTATCAAGCAGGGGAGATAAGGGAAGCCATCAGTGTGACTCTCTGATGAAGCAAAGCTTTTATTTGTTTATAATAATCATAAAATCTGAGAGTGTGGAGGATAAATGTAGTCAGTTTTCAGATGGTTGCCCTGAGGATGTGAGTCGGTCCTCCTGTGGTCGCTCTGGCTGGGAACACAGGGCTAATTGTTGTCTTTATTGTCAGGGCATTGTGTCTCTGACCTGCTGCCCTCCTCGCCATTACCAGCTCGCTAATTCGGTGTTACAGGAATGCGAGTTATGCCCTCTGCATCAGCTGAAGTCCAATCGCAGAAATGTCAGAGTCCTCCTGCTGCGCCGCATTGTTTGGATGCTCAGCAGTGGCGTTTTTCTTTGTGAGAACTTTGTTGTTCAGTCACATGACTGTCCCTCTCTTTTCTTCCTCCCCAACAGACAAGAACTTCGAGGACGATGACTCGGTGGACGGCGGCCGCTCCTCGTCCTCGTCCAAAGGAACCTCGCTGTCCGGGAGGAAGGCGGTGAGCATGGGTTCATTTCGACGCCCTGCCTCCGGCAGCAAGTCTGCAGGTCAGAACCACCGCATCTCCACCCAAATTTATTCATGAGGATGTAAAAAAAAAAAAGATGACAGTTTTTGCGTTTTGTGGATCTGTAATTCTTTCTGCAGGGAGGGACGGGTCCAGTGCTGGAGCCGTGGATGAGGAGGACTTCATCCAGGCGTTTGAAGATGTTCCCACAGTGCAGGTTAGTACATATGTGACATGTACTTCAAACTGCTGACCGTCTCCATCTGCAGGGAGTAAGACTCCTGCTCGTGTGTGGACCTTCTCCTCTCTCTCTCCTCCATCAGATCTACTCTAACAGGGAGGTGGAGGAAGCCATGACGAAGATTCGTGACGTGCTGTCGGACGACAAGCGGGACTGGGAGCTGAGAGTGGCAGCTGTAAGGACATGTCCTGACCTTGGCCCTCGCCTCAGTTTGAAATATCAGTGAAGGTGTGTGTGTACTGAACTTTTTTTGTGCTCCACCAGCTGAAGAAAGTGCGTTCGCTGCTACTGGCCGGTGCACCAGAGTTCGACGGCTTCCTGCAGCAGCTGCGTCTCATGGAGGCGGCGTTCAAGCTGTCTGCCAAGGACCTGCGATCTCAGGTGGTGAGGGAGGCCTGCATCACTCTGGGGTAAGGCACATGGCTCACAAGATAAAAGAAAAGGAAAATAAAACCAGGCTGATCGTCTCCTCCTGCCTGTCATTAGTGCACAGCTGAAATGAATCCATCTGTCTTCCTCTCCATCCATCAGACACCTGTCGTCAGTGCTCGGCAACCGGTTCGATCACGCAGCAGAGGCCATCATACCAATACTCCTCAACCTGGTCCCCAACAGTGCCAAAGTCATGGCCACGTCCGGCGTGGCCGCCATCCATCTCATCCTCAGAGTACGTGCGATAAAGCAGAGGCTGCGAGCGGTTTCGATGCTGATCACTGACTATGACATTCAAGGAAGAAAAAGTTTAACTTTAAACCTATTAAATCTTCATCCATGCATGGTCTGACTTAGCTGCTCTATCTGATCTGAACATGTTCTCCAGACATAACAATGTTAGCCTGATGTCATAACAGGATGGATTTCACAGAAAATTTGATCAAATCATATTTCATGTCCAGAAGAAAAGACTTGACTGTTGTCAGATGGAACAAATTTCTTTTTAAATGAATTCAAATGCAGGAGCTTGTCTGTCTGAAGTAAATTAAGAGAGCTCCTTCTGCCTTTTTCTCAACAGCACACACACTACCCACGCCTCATCCCCATCATCACCAGCAACTGTACCTCCAAATCTGTGGCTGTGCGAAGGTGAGACACACTCACATTTTCTCTTTGATCGTTTTTGTCTTTAGAATTGTTTCATAATATTTTAGTGTGGTTTTATTTTTTTCCAGTTTCTTTGAGTTCAGTTTGTTTTATTATAGTTTTTATTATTATAATTATATGTTTATATTTATCATTAATTTATTATTGTTGATGGTATTTTTTTATCATGTTTATTTTTGATTCATGTTGTCTTTGTTTAAATTCTTTTTATCTGTATATGTAGTATTGTGTTTTTAGTTTTTTCCTTTATTTTTGTGTTTCCTATATTTTGTTTTTGTTTTCATACATATGTAATTTCTTTTTTAAGTATTTTTCCTTTTTTATTTTATAAGTAGTAATTTTTATACCGTAAGTCCGTATTATGTAAATGATATTATTTTAATACTTATTTATTTTCTTAATTATAAACTTGTTTTATTATTATTATTTCCTCATGTCTTGTTTTAATTTCATCCCAGTATTTTCTTTTAATTAAGCTTTTTTATTACATTTATATTCATGTGTTTATGTTATATTTTCATAATTTTATTAATATTTGTTTACATTTTTAAATGTGAATTTATCAACTTTTTTTTCTTTCATTTTACTCTAATATTTTTTCTAATTTAGCTTTATTTTATATATATTTCAATCTTATTTATATTTATTTGTTTTATAATATTTTTTATGTATATCTTTCTTGCTTCATTTTTACATTAATTTAGATTTTAATATTCATGATTATTTCAAAAATAATTTGATTGCTTTCTTCCTGTTTGCAGGCGCTGCTTCGAGTTCTTGGACCTGCTGCTGCAGGAATGGCAGACGAGCTGTCTGGAGAGGTGAGGAAAAATAGAACAGTGGGTCAGCTGATGGCAGGGGTTCAGTTTTAGTGGGATTAATGGTTAGTAGTATCTGAGGCGTGCCTTCAGCACTAACTGTGTGTAAACTGTGGAATACGCAGAGAGCCATGCAGTAAACACAAAACAATAGCAGTGACAGTGATTTGTGGGACACTCGGAGCGCTACATGCTACCTTGTGAGGAAATGCGACACCGGCCGGGTCAAGGTCTGTCTCAGCGGTTTCCATGGCAATGCCGGGGGATCTCTGTCTGCCACCAAAAAGCTCTTTGTGTTTCCACCCGGCTGCTTCCTGCAGCCGCCGCCGCCAGGGAGAAACCCGAGCTGACCCCTCAGTGTCAGGGGAGCGCTCTGGTTCTCATCGATCACTCAGTCAGAGGCTGTCTGTGTGCGGATCTGAGTCATTGAGCTACAAATCAGTTTTACTAAGAGAAAGGACTAAAAATGTTTTAATTTGAGAAAATTAGGTCTTTGATTTGAACCTCAGTACCTTTCTTTAGGTTTTGTTATTAAAAAAAGTTCACAAGCTGTGATCGTTTTACTTTTTCCATCAGATTTAAATCCACACTTTGTGCTTTATTTGGTAAAGTTCTCTATGCAACTGCCTCCTGTTGCACATTCAGCACAATCTGAGCAACATCCCTAAATATTGATTAATAGAGCCGTAAGAGACTAAAGTGCCAGCAGAGCTGATGGAGTGTAGGCTGCACAGCAGATGGCAGTTTAAAGGTCACTGCTGCAGTTAATGCTGGGGCGTGTGCAGGCTGCGACTCTTCCTGTCATTACAGCTGTGAGATAGTGCTGCATGCATGGTGGTTGAGTTTGACCATGCTGAATGACGGAGTAGTTTGGCCTGTTTTTATCTTCACTGACTGTACTTAATGTTAACGCCACTGAAACTTTGAGCCACAGTGATCTCAGTGGGACACAAAAGTGGCAGCAAAGCTGAAGCAGCTGTAACAGTCATTAAGCTGATAAAATAATAAATATTAATAAAATATCCTAGATCAAACTTGAAAGGTTTTAGGGTGGCAAAACCCTAAAGTTTTATAAACGTTTCATTCAGCTAACCATGTGTCCCTAAACCTGCTTATTTTCAGCCTGAAAGGCTTTGGGTATTGTCCACACCATATATGTATGTATGTATAAAACACATCTTAACAACAAGGAGCACTGAGGATAGAGAAAAGAAATCAGCACACAAATAAACACGCGCATGTTCAAGCATTGTTTGCCTCTCAATGAAAGCAGGTACACAAACAGTTTTCCTGTTCTCCTCCACCTGCAGGCACGGCACAGTTATAATGGAGACTATAAAGAAAGGGATCCATGATGCAGACGCTGAGGCTCGCTCTGTGGCCAGAAAGTAAGTCTGAGCGCACTCGCACCTTAAACCTACAGAAACAAAGGAAAAGGACATAAAAGCAGCATGTTTATCAGCCTGTGCCCTAATGGAGGTTTGTGGCCCTCTGGCTTGATGTTGCAGGTGTTACTGGAGCTTCCACAGTCACTTCAGCCGGGAGGCGGAGCAGCTGTTCCAGGGCCTGGAGTCGTCCTATCAGAAAGCTCTGCAGGCTCACCTGAGGAGCGGAGACAGTCTGATGTCGCTGCCCGCCTCTGATCGCTCCTCTTCCTCTTCTCAGGAGAGCCTCAAGTGAGACTTCCTCTCCTCCTCCCCGATTGATCAGTTTATTGATTAAAGTCATAAAGGGAGAAAAGGTTTTAGTCTTTGTGGCCCTTCATCTAGTTTTTTGACTAACTCACATCTCTTTATCTTCTCACAAAGAGGAAAACACAAGGATGGAAGACTAGTTCTCACCCAATAACATATCTTTAATGTAGAAATAATGGAAACATCTAATCTATGTGTAGTTTTCTGCTCCTGGACTGATTATTGATCTATTTGCTGTCATAGACTGAATAGAAATGACTGCATTAAGCGGTTTAAGCTTAAACTTGTCCTGTAGTCACATACAGTAGTGCTGCTGCCACACCAGCCCGCTCATTCGCTTCGAATGAATTTCTGCCTTTGCAGATCACTTTCTTGCTCCCGTCTCTTTCCTCTCTGTCACTTGACTCCTGTCTCATTAACATATTCAGGGCCTCATTGATCTTTGTGCCGTCCACGTCTAATAAAAAGCTGCTGTGTTGATGTGTGTGTGCGCCGCGGATGAGCTGTTTGTCACAGATGGTCTTTTTTTAAAAGATGTGATTTACAGCAGCAGAGAGTGTAACTAATGTAACTAATGTAACTAATGTAACTAATGTAACTAATGTAACTAAGCCGTCCTGCTGATGAGGTGGGATCGTGATATTACAGTGTGGTATTCTGTCACACATTTGAATACGTACAAAATGCAGTTTTTAAATGATGATTTCATTTATTAAAGTAAAATGTATCCAACCTACCTCGCCCTGTGTGAAGAAGTAATCAATTCATACACTGAAGAAGTGGCCGAGTCGAAGTCTGGACTTAAATCCGATTGAAATGTTTTGGCCTTAAACGGGCTGTTCATGCTGGAAAACCCTCCAATGTGTCTGAATGAAAACAATTCTACAGAGAAGAGTGGGCCAGAATTCCTCCACAGTGATGTGAACGACTCATTGTCAGCTATCACAAACACTTGTTTGCAGTTCTTGCTGCCAACGGTGGAACAACCAGTTATTAGTTTAAAAAAAAGAAATCAGGAAAACAGTGAATACTTTTCCACAGCTGTAAATGCAGGTCAATCAGTGTTTCAGTCTCATGTCAAAGGGCTTTTGTTTTGACACAAAGGAGCAGCACTGGCAGATTTTTGGGGGAAGTCTTGAATGATTTTGTGACAGTTGATATCTCACACTTACCATTTCTTTGCTGTTCTAAACAAGCTTCTCTCTTTCGCTTCTTCCACAGTCGACCTCTGTCTGCAAAAAGCACTGTTGGGAACAGCTCAGCCCGATGTAAGGACTGTTTGTTTGGCTCTTCTGTTCATTTAGAAAAACCTAAATCTGCATGCAGCAGATGATCTCCTGTCATGTTTTCTTTGAGCTTTAAGAGGAGCACGTATTTGTCTAGTGTGTGTTCCTCATTAAAAGCTCTGTTATCACCTAAATGCAAGAAAATTCGATTTATTAAAGCAAAAAAGGCACCAGAGGTGATCTAATCTGATCTGCCTCTGATCAAGTTGATTTGCCGTTAAACAGTTTGACTTTATCTGTCCTTCTCCAGCCAAACCCGCCCACACCTCCAGGATGCCGGCTGCCGCCTCCTCCCCCGGCTCACTCCAGCGCTCCCGCAGCGACGTGGACGTAAACGCTGCGGCCAGCGCCACCGCCCGCACGAGGATGCCTGCCGTACCCTCCACTGTGCCGTCGTCGGCCTCGCCCTTCAGCTCTGCCTCGGCGCTGCCTCCTGGATCCTACGCTTCACTGGGTGAGACAGCCGCTCACGTTGCAGTTATCCTGCTCCACACTCAGCTGTTGCTTCTAGCTGCAAACTGGACCAGCAGCTCCACTTATAGCAACGTATTTAACCTAAAAGCACGACCACGAGCACAGGCCGATTTATGCAAAAATCACAGAGCACACTTTATAAAAACAAAAAACAAAAAGATGGTTCAAAGGTTCACACAACAAAAACTAAAATAACAGTTTGTAGTAAAAAAAAATCACCATCTGCTGTTTGGTGCTAATGAAACCCAAACAAATACTTTGAATAATTGCATTTATTCACCTTCAGATTCTGCTGCTTTTTATATAATTTGATGCCTTTCAGGCAGCAGGTCTTATGATCAGGATCAAGATGCTATTTCTATTTTTTCATTATATAATTGTCATGTTGGCTGATAATACGATTACTGAATCAATCTCAAATAAATAAATTGGTGTGGGCGGTTCATGCATTTGTCTCAGGTTGATCTGATCTGATCATAAGCTCACCATCCAAATCAAATTTGCTGTGTATGCCCCCCTCCCACCACCACACCTCCTCCGCCCCTCTAAAGCCTAACCTGTTGACCCTAAACCCTGTTGTGTTTCTCCCGGCCTCGCTCGCTTGTCAGACGGTTCGTGGTCTGTTAACACAGACGGTAAGCTGTGTGGGTGTGGTGGGTGTTTTACCTCCATCAGTTCTGTAATGGTGGTCATCTGTAATGGAAATGTCAGCGCATGGACTGTCTGTGCATGGTTTACTCCAGTTTCTCACACACGCAAACACACACACCTGGAAAACTACCAACCTGTGCGGTTACAAAGACAAATATGATGACAGAGTTACAAAGAAACCTGTGAGCAGCACGAGATTTTCCCCGCCGTACCTTCTGCTTTGAGTCTGAAGTTGTTTTACGATCACATGCAGTTTTTCTTTGCTTGAGAACAGAGTCAGCTGATTGTGTAAATAACTGATTCTGCTCCTCAGCTGTAGTTTTGACATGTAGATAAATGTAAAGCATCAGAATGAAAAAATCAGCGTTTCCTGTCCTGAGAAGTGCAGTGTTAGTCCTCTGTTAGTCGGCCTGCAAACAGCTCAGACTTCACTGACTCTGAAGTCCCGCTCTGGCTGTCAGTACGTGGAGGCTTGAACTGCTCTCCATGTGGTCAGTAAACAAAATACCTTCCTGTGCTGGTGTCGGTAGGGTTTCATCCTGTAATTCACATCCCTGCATGGTGGTGTCAGATCTGTCAGAAATAAGAGGAACAGCCTTTGATGTTGTGGCTGTTGTGGCTCCTTTAACTCAGCCCTCAGCTGCAGAGCAGGCTGAATTCACTTCTTTGTGTCTAGTTTGAAACCAAATAAACCTAAAACTCTTCGCTGCAGCCATCGTTTGAGCTTTACGTGCAGTTGTGGCTCCTTTTACTGTTCACATGAACCTTTCAGCCTGTGAGTAACTGACTTACAGATATTTTCCTGCTGCCTTTTTTTTTGGAAGACTTCACAAACGTGCGTCTCTGTGGCCTCGGCCAATGTTAAACTTCCACAGTCTGTGTTGACAGAAAGCGAACAGAGAGACGGGCCTAGTTACTGATGAAGAAAGCACTTCATCGCTGGCTGTGACGCAGATGCACACTGTGGCTGAAGGCTTCCCGGGCACACGTTGTGATTGATGTATACTTGAAAAGACAACAGAAAAAAACACACAAAAGAGTCTCCTGATCCTCGCTGTGCCTCCAAAGCAGAAGCAGTGCCGACCTCCTGAGGGCACTGGTGGATGCTTTATCACCCAGGCTCTGACACTCGTCTGGCTGTAACACCTGCCCATCAGCGAACATGGAGACCATGAAAAACTGTCCTGCTTTCTGTTTTCTTCCACTTCTTGGCTTGTGCAGCTGTTATGACATGGCCTTTGTTGTTCTATGTCAGAGCTCAGGATGTTTGTATCCACAGATTAGGGGAAAAAAGCTTTCTCTGCAGTGCATGAAGCAGCTGCTCAGACTTTCTAGTGATTCCTGGAAGCAGAGGACACACTTGCATCTACAGACATGTACAAAAGCAGGACTGCAGTCAGTCATGTGTCTCTGCTCGTATTCGATCAGGCAGACGAATCAAACAGAAGCAGCCTATAGACACACAGAGCTCCTAATGTAGGAGAGGAGGAGGTGATGGGGCGCTGAGTGGACCCAAATGTAGGACATGTCACCCAGATGGAGTTAGGCGGGACTCCCAACCAACGCCAGCTGTATTTACTATGTGTGTGTATACGTGTCTCTCCTTTACTGTGAACTTTATAACGTAATTGTTCCTGAGTCTTTGCACCAGTTCACTCACATTACAGCTCGTTAACCCGGAATGAAAGGTTGTTGGTGACGTGTTGAGACTTCCGTCTGCATGAGGCACAGATTCCTCTCCGAGTCTGTAAATGTTGTGGCGTCTTTATATCTCCTCCATCTGTTTCTGTCTCCACATTTGAATCTGGCAGCTGAGAGATTAGAGAAACAATTTGTTCTCAGTGACCAATAAACGCTTGTCATGTGACCCCTGCTACCCACAAAAACACCTTTAATGTTACCGTCCGCTGTCTTTATGGATTTAAAGCTCGTGTTCATGGATGACAGACTCTGTGTTTCTCTGGTCTTCAGGATGATCTGTATGGTTTTCCTCCCTTCAGTCTCAGTCCCTCTGTTGCTGCATGAAGCACACATGTAGGAAGTGTCACAGCAGTCTTAAGACTTCAGTGTGTTTGAGCTTTTGTCTTCCTGCGTCTCTGCCTCTGCAGGTCGAGTGCGAACAAGGAGGACAAGCTCAGGAAACGGTCCGTCAGTGACAGACACACGGGGCCGGAGTCGAGGGAAAGTCGTCTCTCAGTCCCAGCGTGAGTAACTCTGCTGCTTTTTTAGTGATATAGATCAAATTTAGATATCAGTCTGTTCAAATACAAATATAAACGTTTTTCTTAAATAACATTTCTGTGACTAAAAAATGGATTTGTAACTGTTTTTCATACTTTTCTAATCTTACCACTTATTTGGAAACCTAAACAAAGGTGTGACAGACATATGAACTGGTTCACCGAAATATGTCTTCCTGTGTTTCAGCTGGGAGTCGGTCAGGCTCTCCCGGGCGTCTGCTGAGCTCCACCTATGGCCGGATCCCCAGGCCCACCATGGGCACCGGTGCCACCGCCGCCGCCACGGGTAGCACCTCCACCAGCCTGACCGACAAGAGCCGACCTCGAGGTCACCGCAGCCAGGGCTGCAGCCGAGAGACCAGCCCCACCAGATCAGGCACGGGTATGGGAGGGAAGACAGACACATTTAAAAATGAAAGCATTTTTTTTAAAACACAGGTTTGGGAGCATTTGTGAAGAAGTTCAAGTTAAAAAGTGGAAAAAGAATTACTGAAAGTAAAAATCTGAGAACTTGGTATAAATATGATGCTGTCTGAAACAGTAAAGCCGGTCAGAATTGGCAGATCGGACTCCTTGTATGTGAGTCGACCTGCACGCTCGACTGGAGGCGAAAGATCTTCCTGGTTCGTCTTCCTGATGCTAACACCTGCTGCCTCCCCCCTCTCTGTCTCTGTCTCGCTCGCCTGCCTGACTCACTAACCGTCTCTGCTGGGCTTCAGGTGTGTCATGTCTGCCTAACCTCTCTTCCCTGCACCGCTCTCTGTCTGTCTGTGTGTCCGCCTCTGCAGCCCGGAGTCGCATCCCTCGACCGAGCATGAGTCAGGGCTGCAGCCGTGAAACCAGTCGCGAGAGCAGCCGCGACACCAGCCCGGCGCGGGGCTTCTCCCCCCTGGGTGAGTATGGTATCAAAGACTGAAGGCTGAGACGATCTCAGACGTCTGTCTGACTAAATCCTTACTTTTCCTGCTTTTTTATCTGCATGCTCTCTGTCTAATTGTCCAGGTTGTGTCTGCTGGTAATCCTTTAAAGTGCAGCTAATTGTTGTCTTTTAAGTTCCTCTGTAAAATAACATCCTCACTCCTGGTCTCTCCTTAACTTTGCGTCCTCCTTCAGCGTCCCGCCGTCACTCCCGTTCCACCAGCGCCCTGTCCTCTGCAGAGTGCTACTCAGGTGACCAGTGGAGCAGATTTAAACAGATAACGAAAACAAAAGCGGCTCAAAGCTTCCTGCCTCACCCTGCATGGCCAAAGTCGACTCTGCCTCCTGTGGTCAGAGTGGGAAGTAATCAATAATCAGTCAGATATTGGAAACCTTTACAGAGCAATCAGATGTAGCCTCCAGCCACAGATAAACCTTAAAGATGCTTAAGTGAAGTTTCCCACTCTGGTGCACGTAAAGCAGTACATCTCATTCACCTACAGGGGGCGGTACTAAACCAGTCTGGCCTGGTCCTGACAGTCATAGCTGCCTTTGTCATGTTTATCGCTACCAGGGGTGTAACGGTTCTGAATCAGGGTGCAAACGTCCGCAGTCTCCTGCCTCCACCCAGTAAATCTGTCAGATAAATATAAGCTGGTGCAGCTTTAAGGTGGAATACTCTGTGCCAGAGTACAACATACTCACAAAAACAGTCAAGATTCTCTAACAAAGTTCCTCGTTTTTGTTTATTAAACTCATCATTATGAGTTGGGCTGTCGGTGGGCTGTTAGCATGGTGAAAGCTAAAGATGCTTCAAGTAAAGAGAAAACTGGGAATACTTAATTCATTATCAGCTGATCATGCCCGTGATAAAGCAAATACTTGCCCGTATGTTTTGTAATTAACCTGACTATGGATCAGGCGAATCGTTACACCCCTACCTGTTGCTATGAAACGGCTACAGGAAACAGGAGTTCATGCTTGTAAATATTGAAGATAAAGTTTTGCTTCTCCTTCAGTTTGGTGTTTTGTTTTTTTGCAGAGCATCATGAAGTTTATTTCTCTCATGCAGTTTATGAAGTTTGTTATTTTTCACATTTTTTAGCGAGCGCTGCTGGGTTTTACTTCTGGAGCTCTGCTTGTGTTTTGCATTTCTTTGTATTTGAGTTGATTAAACAGGCTGTTCGCTGCTCAGATCTGGACTTGTGTTATATTATATTACATTCAAACAGCCTCTCTGCTCATCACTGTGGGTTTGGTCTGGTTTAAAGCAGTTACTTAAAAATTTGCAACCTGCACAGGTAAATAACACAAATTCTTCTCATGTAATTTGAACTCATTAAATTGTCTGAATTCACAAAAACGGGACCAAGACTCACGTCACTGTTATTGATCATCAGTTCTACATGAAGGAGATGTTTCTGTTTAATATTGAGGCGTGCCTGTGGATTTTAAAGCCTCTGTAATCAAACTGCTTCTCCTCCTCTGACCTCCTCCCATCAGACCGGCTGTCCCATCAGGCTCGGATCTCTGCCTCAGTCAATGCCATGAGGATCCTCAACACGGGCACCGAAGTCGAGGCTGCGGTCGCCGATGCTCTGGTGAGAAGAGAAAACTGTTTTTGCCTTAATGTGAATACAAATGTGAATCAAAGATGTTGTCGCAGCTCTTTCAGCTCTGTTAATGCCCTCTCTGCTCTTTCTCTCTGGACTTTGTACATTTCAGCTCTTAGGAGACTCGAGGAGTAAGGTACAGGTAGATCTCACCTGTCACTGCATGCAGAGCATGAGCTGTGCACACTGACTTTCACGTTTTAAACATGGATGCAGTGATTTGCTTTATTTCAAGTTGTTTTAGCTTGGTAAAGGTTGCTTATCGCTCCATTAAAAGCAGCATGTTGATATGGACTCATATGGAAGAGAGGGGGGAAACACCCCAAAGTAACCTCATCCATCTCATGCGATGACACCAGAAGCATCCATGAGTCTGCCTGTGTAGCTGCATGCTACTTCTTCTGACAGCTGTACATTTACCCTGTGAAGTCTCGTCTTTACACTTAGCCTCTCTCATCTCCTCTCTGATGTAGCGGAGGCCAGTGAGGCGGCGGTTCGAGTCGCCGGGGATGTACTCAGACGACGACGCCAACAGCGACGCCTCCAGCGCCTGCTCTGAGCGCTCCTACAGCTCACGTAACGGCGGCGTGGCGCCGCACTACCTACGTCAGACGGAGGATGTGGCGGAGGTGCTGAACCACTGTGCCAGCGCCAACTGGTCCGAGAGGAAGGAGGGACTGCTGGGACTGCAGAACCTGCTCAAGAGCCAGAGGATGCTCAGGTGGGTGTGCCAACAGTGGAAAACAGGTCTGAAAAGCTCCGCCTCTGCAGGTTTGAGGACTTTTGGTTGATGTAAAGGGGCGGTGGATAAGGTTTAATCGTAAGGAAACATGCTGGGTTATGAGTTTAATGTCAGGAGTTTTGTTAAAGAAGGGTTTAATAAAAGAAACCTTGTAGTCTTTGTACACTTCTAATCAACCTTGTACCTTGATGCTGACAGTCAGCAGAAAGGTTAAAGCAGAGAGATTTTAGTGGTCAGTCCAGGCTGAGATCCAGAGGCTGTGTTTTCAGCACACTCCTACTTCTGTTCAGATCTGTTTCAGCTACTGGAAATGCACTGTGCGCGGTTCAGGAGATGATCTCCAGCGAACTTGCTCTGTTGTAGCTATACACTGTATATAGTGATGGACGTGTATTCTAGTCTAAAAAGCCACACCCATCACTAGATACAAGTTTCTCATGACCCCTGGTCTTTTTTTATTAATGCAAGGGGGCGACTCCTCTGGTTTAAAACAAACAAACAAAAAAGGATATGAGAAAATGAGTGTGCTTCTCACCTCACTATTTTCTCTTCCTCTCAAAGTCGAGTTTATCTAATGAAGCTACAGTAAAGTACAGAACTGTAATGTCTCCTGTTTCTTTACTCTGTCTGCACATAAAAGCTTTCTGTTGGCAACAAAATAACCGTGCCTGTTGTTTCAGTCGTGTGGAGCTGAAGAGGCTTTGTGAGATCTTCACCAGGATGTTTGCGGACCCTCACAGCAAGGTGAGACGGCAGCATGTTTCACACGTACTCTTATTAAAAGTGAAAGCCGACGTCAGAAAGCAGCAGTTCACACTTCCTGTGGAGAGAGAGGGGACAGTGAGAGCCGGAGGGATAAACCTGGGAGTTTGTTGTGACTCTGAAGCTGGGACGTGAGCGTCGTGGCTGATTTCACTGCTCTCGTGTCGTCACTAACAGCAGGACAAACTAACAGTGTGTGTTTTCTTGTTGCATGCCTCCTCGCTGATGCGGACTCTAACAAACACCAGAGAGTAAGTGTTTGCTCTCACTCACATGAGAACTGTCTGCTGTCATATTTCACTGCGTGTGTACTCGTCTCAGACCAACATGTGCAGACAAACACTCAAACATCTCCTCCTCATCATCACCCCTGACTCTGTGACAGGTCTTCAGCATGTTCCTGGAGACTCTGGTGGACTTCATCGTGCTGCACAGGGACGACCTGTTGGACTGGCTCTTCGTCCTGCTCACACAGCTGCTGAAGAAGATGGGCGCCGACCTGCTGGGCTCTGTCCAGGCCAAAGTCCAGAAGGCTCTGGATGTCACGAGGTTAAGACTGAAACCTTTTCATCACTAAAGAAAAGTCCTGTATGCTTCTATCCTGCAGCAAATTAAACTCCAATCAACCAAACTGGATTTAAAGTAATTAATGGGACTTTCCTCTGTGCAGGAAATAACACAAAAGAGCAACGAGTCACAGTTTTAGTAAAGGGGAAAGTGATCCTGTTATTTAATTTGGTCCTGCAGGTGGAGCACAGGAGATGTTTTGCACTAAATGTTTTTTAAAAAAGTTTATAAATTACTTTAGAATATGTGGAAATATAATATAAAGTATGTTGTGTGAACTCACTGAAGCAAGAGCAGCTGTTGTCAATAAAAAAGAGGGTGTAACTTCATCTCGTGTTCTGACCATGTTTTTCTCTCCTCCTTCCCGCCTCCATGCAGGGAGTCCTTCCCATACGAGCAGCAGTTCAACATCCTGATGCGCTTCATCGTGGATCAGACGCAGACCCCCAACCTGAAGGTGAAGGTGGCCATCCTGCGCTACATCGAGGCTCTGGCCAGGCAGATGGACCCGGCCGACTTTGTCAACTCCAGCGAGACACGCCTCGCCGTTTCTCGCATCATCACCTGGACCACCGAGCCCAAGAGCTCCGATGTCCGCAAGGTAGGAGGGCATGTCAGCCTCCGTCTTCCTTAAAACACTCCCCCCTTTTCATCCCTTTAAATTCCTCTAAATGTTTCATTTTTTTTATATTTTCAGTTGTTTTGTTCTGTTTTTTTGGTTTTTTTTCATGTCTTAAATTTTTCCCCCTTAATGGTCCTTCCTCCACCCACCTCACCCTTAGACCCTTCATAACTGGGCAGGGGAGGATTTCTCAGGCCGAACCAGCACCGTGGCCTCTCTGCCCGGGGAGGGCAACCTGGAGGAGAGGTGCAAGCAGGTAGATCCTCTACCAGTGAGCATGCGCAGCGTGAATAACCTCGTCTAACCCGGTCACAAAGAAGCGGGAAGCTGCTGTGAGCGTGTTTGTTCAGGCCCGCGTACAGAGGACATTAACCTGAGAGTGTGAGCGGGTTCTGTGAATGCTTTTCAGCACTAACTGCTGGCAAACGGTGAAAAAGGTGGAGAGGTATCCGTGTACCTGAGGTGTGTGCATGAGATGCTGCAGCTGAGTGCAGCTTTAAGACTAACTCTGCCGACCATTATGATATTTCTCTTATTATCAGGCATGAGTCTGACCTTTAACCTTTACAGTAAAACATGAAACATTCGAATCATTTGAAAGGAAACTGAGTGATAAATGCTTCCTTTAGCTTTTGCTTAACAAGTTCAATTGACATGCTGCATGTTAACAGAACTATTACTTTTATTTTTCCTGTTATATTTTTTCCTCTTCCAATTAAAATGGTCAAAGTTTCAGAGAATCGCAGTCTTTGTACAGATCTCCAAAAGTTGATTCTGTTCCTCTGGACGTAGCGTTTTCAGTGAGAGAAACGTTTCGTCACTCATCCAAGTGACTTCAGTCTCAGCTGACTACAGGTTTCTCTAATCTTATAAACTGTACATTTGCATAATGACTGAAACCAGCCCACTGAAGGAACAATGGGCTGGGAGGTCAGTTCCTTCATCACAATTATGCAAATTCTCATGACCATTGATCAACAACCACTGACCAATGGCCATGAGTACCATTCACAGAGAGTTGGGGAATGGCTACAATCACAGCATTGTAAGATGGTGACAGATGTACCCTTAGATCCCCTCCTCGATTCAGAGATGGTCTTTCCCTTTTCACGTAAATGGCCTCCTTGACTCTTCGCTCAAACCAGCGTTCCTCCCTGTCCAGGATGTGCACATCCTCATCATTGAAAGAGTGTCCACTGGCCTGTAGGTGTAAATACACTGCAGAGTCCTGGCCTGACGAGGTAGCTCTTCTGTGGTGTGCCATCAACTTCGCCAAAGGTTGTTTGGTTTCCCCGATGTATAAATCCTGACACTTAACAAGAGGTCAAATTGCTCCAAACTCTCAGTTTTTGGGGTTTTTTTTGTCACAGAAGCTCCACCCACCTGCTGTTCAAACCTTGAGTTTGCAAAGGGCAGCCAATCAGAAAAAAGCTGGCTTAATTGTGGACAAACTAGAATAAAATAAACAAAGAATATTTTGAACTGTAAATCATGCAAAGCCCAGAATTAAAATATGGTGCACAATAGGTCCACTTTAAAGTGGAAGCCAGGGTTATAATAAGTGAACATGGCTGAAGCCATGTTTACTCAGAGTTGATTTCTCTGTGGGAGGATTTAATCTTTGAAAGCACTCTGTCTAAATTTGTGGAGAAATTGTGGTACGGTTTTTGTTACTGCTGGACTTTGTCTGTTACTAACTGTTGAAAGGTTGGAGGTAAACAGGTTTACTTAAAAACAAAAAAAGGTCTGGGCATTAAAGCATGCTGATAAACTTGTGCATGAAATTGAAGGCTTTTATTCTGAAGGTCTGAAGGTGTAAAGGTTTAAAATTAACTGGGGACTTTTACTTTAAAAGTCCCACAACACTGAAGTATCTAAGGCTACGTTCACACTGCAGGTCTTAATGCTCAATTCCGATTTTTTGATCAAATCAGATTTTTCTGTCTGCTTGTTCACACTACAAATAAAATGTGACAGCAAACGTGCTCCTGTGTGAACCCTCAAAGCGGCCCGCATGCACAAAAGACGACGTCACACACAACGCGTTCTGTTTAGACACAGAGCAAACAATATTGTTTGACTGTTGGCCCTTAATATAAAGACTTGTTTCGGACTTTATGTTTCCCAATTTTGCTTTAAGTTATAAAGTTATTTTGTTATTTACATATGGCCTAATAATTATCCTTATTGCTGTTTCAGAGAGGAGCGGTGCTTCAAAGGATAGTTGCTGATTTCTGTCAGAATCTGCAGATTATGCAGTACAAATAAAATGTTCACATTTCTCCAATGTTGTCTTTCCAACAGTTTCACTAACATCTACACCAGATGGCCAGGAAGCGTTCACGATGTCTTCTCCGGCGCTGATAATTGGCGTCTGTCTTGTGTCA